TGTCCCTCTCTTCAAAAAAGGTAAACAAAGATTCAGGAAACTATAGATTAGTGAATCTGACCTGGATTCCTGGGAAGATTCTAGAACAGCTCATGAAGATACTGATTTGCAATCTATTTTAATATGTGATAATTATCAAAAATTAGCACATTGTCAAAAACTAATCTTGGAGGGCTAACTTTTTGTGATATTTTTTATCTGTTGAACTCCTGAATGAAGTGTGGGAATGCTATAGATTTAATGTATGTTGCATTTAGCAAACATAACCATAACATGTTTCCCCCCAAATAATTTTATTAGAGATTACCATTAAAAAGAATAAAAACTATGCAAACTACAAAAACATAAAAGGAAAAATATAACATTAAAAAAAGAAAACAAAAGAGACTTCCTGTCTCATCCCAGCAAGTTCACACAATTCAGGAAAACCTATTGCCAACTCTTTAAGTTAAAATATATACACTGTTCACCCAATATCTCATCTTAACTAAAAATGTTGTTGTCATTAATTCCTTATCAGCAAATGTCCAGTAGGAGTTTTAGATATAACTATCTTAATCTCTTGATCAATTAAGCCAACTTTGTATTCCTTTCTTAAATTTAAAAAAAAACTCAATTCTTGACCTCTTCAAGTAGAGCCTTGCATCTTGCATACTTGTCATCTTTTTTAATCTTCCCACTTACCCAATCTTTCCAAACTTTAGCAAGTCTCTTTTTTATATCTCATAAGAGATATTCGTCCTTTTTTTGTCACTTCTCAAAAAAACCCTTCAAAACTTTAACAGATCTGTTTTGTATGTCCAGCCCAAAAAAAAGGGGGGGGGAGGAATCCACCTCTCTTCCGGTTTGTATATCTTCTTTAGGCATTAGGTATCAGGGGCTATCCTGGAGAAGTATTTGGATGGTACAGTGAGTCCAGAATGGAACGGTGCAGATAATTTGGAAGGCTTCTCGGGTGGCACATGTAACACCACTGTTACATGAGCTATCCTGGCTGTGGGTCTGCTTCCAAGTGTCATTCAGGCTGTTGGTCATTACCTTTAAATACCCTGAAAGAGAAGCTGTTGGCTGGAAGTGGCTAATGTAGTTACAGAGAAGTCGCCACCACCTCAAACCTGTATTCTTTTTAGTTTGTTTTAAACTTTTGCAATTTTAATCTGTTTTTATATTTAAAATTATTTTTAATCCATGTCTTATTATGTTGTAAGCCACTTGGAGCCGTCTTAGGTCATGAGATGAGCAATATGTGAATTTGATAAATAAATCAGAGCGTCATTCTGTTTCATTTGAAAGTTCATTATATCCTTTTCTTTATCCTTCTCATTACTTGCCACATTCATATCCATGTTCAGATTAATATCAAACTTATCTAGAGTCTTTTGTTCTTATTCCATTGCATCCTTAACAGTCCATGTATTCATCATTTCTGATAATGTCAATATTTTTCAAGTATTCAATTTTTCATGAAAAAAAATATCAGAATATTTCTCTTGTATACATTCTTTTGTTATCCTCTAGCTCTCCTCTAGTGTCCAACATTTAAAATGCCAATAGTTTGTTTGTATAAAGAAAAGGCAAACACTGACAATTTCCCATGGGAGGAACTCTTCCAGAAGTTTAAAATTGTAATTCCAAGTCCACTTGCCTTTATTCTGTTAAACTTTGTAAAATCCATATTCCAAGCATCCTTTTGCTGTTTAATCTGGAAAAAAATATTTTTCAAAATCTTTTGAAATCATATTTAAAAGTTATCTAAGGAGAAGGCAACTCATTTAGCAAATGCAGTATAAGATATTGTTCTGAAGAGTCTTAATCTTTAAAATTGAAAAGCAAATTGAGAGTGATTAAGCAGTGAGGCTTGGTTGGACTTAGTTCTTTAAAAAATGGCTGTGTTGATGACCATGAACAAAGATGGTTCCTCCCTTGATTTGCAGATGCTCAACCCATAAGCATGCTGTAAAATGACAGTCCTATGGCTTACTCATGAGAAGCTACTGTGTGAACTCAACATGAGCTATCTCAAGTTCTCCCTTACCATGGGGAAATATTTTATTTATTTTTATTTTATTTATTTGTCAAGCATGTATTAGCTAACAGATATAATTAGAACATGATTATGATTACATGAAATGGGTACGAATAAAAGGGGACATTAGGGCAGGGACAGTAGGCACTTATGCATGCCCTTACAGATCTCTTAGGAATGGGGTGAGGTCAATAGTAGACAGTCTGTGGTTAAAGTTTTGGGGGTTTGGGGAAGAAACCACAGAGTCAGGTAGTGCATTCCAGGCATTGACAACTCTGTTGCTGAAGTCAGATTTTCTGCAATCGAGTTTGGAGCGGTTTACCTTAAGTTTGTATCTATTGTGTGCTCGTGTATTGTTGTGGTTGAAGCTGAAGTATTCATTGACAGGTAGGACATTGTAGCAGATAATTTTATGTACTACGCTTAGGTCAGACTGAAGGCAGCGTAGTTCTAAGTTATCTAAGCCCAAAATTTCAAGTCTGGCGGTATAAGGTATTTTGTGGTGAGCAGAAGAGTGGAGGACTCTTCTCGTGAAATATCTCCGGACTCTCTCAATTATATTAATGTCTGATATGCAGTGTGGGTTCCAGACAGATGAGCTGTATTCGAGAATTGGTCTAGCAAATGCTTTATATGATCTAATTAGCAGTACAATATTACCAGAGAAGAAGCTACGCAAGATTAGGTTAACAACTCTTAATGCTTTTTTGGTAATGTTGTTATAGTGGGCTCTGGCTCTTGCATCCAGCTGTAACACTTTTCTTTTACAAAAAAAAGGGACACTAGCTACCGGTAACCATGACTTTGAACCAGAAGTCGATATCCATTACATGCTAATTAGGAAACTGGGCAAGCTGAATGGCATGATAATTAAACAGATATATAAGTGTCATGAAAATCTTACTCAAAAAAAATGCTTCTTAATGGTTGTTCATCCATTTGGAAACAGGTAGCAAGTGGGGTTCAATAGAGATCATATACTCTTCAGTATTTTCTTTCATTACTTGAAGAGTTTGAGGAAATGCTTGTCAAATGTTCAGATGACATAATATTAGAAGGGAGAGTTAATAATTTACAGGAGATATGAAATTCAAAATGATCTTGATAGGTTGGAGAAATGGGCTCCGAGAGAAAAGCAAAAGATGCTTCATTTAGGAAACCCAAATAAAATTCTCAAGTGCAGGATAGTTGATACCTGGTGTGTTAATGGTATGATATTTTTGGAATATCAGTGGTTTACAAACTGATTGGCCAAAAAGGCAAATCAAAATGTAGACTGCATCATGAAGAATTACTTTCAAAGCACAAGAAATTCCATTTTATTCTGCCTCGGTCAGACCTGACATCCTCTGCTGGCTCTTGTTCCATATTATGTCTCATTTTGAAAACAGTTCAGATAAATTGGGACAGGCAATAAACATAATCAGGGGTACTAGAAACTGAGTTCTCTCAAGAGAGAATGAAAAAGCTGCTTATGTTTAGCATTCAGAAATGGTAATTGAAGGGACTATTCTTCAAACACCTGAAAGATTGTCACCAGAAGATTAATACATCCTGTCTCCTTCCACAATGCAGGGCAGAGAATAATGGATTTAAGTTGCAGGAAGGCAGATTCTGGTTGAATAGTATGGGGTTTGACAATGGAATTATTTATCCAGAGAGGCTATTTCCCTATTTCCTTTTCATGAGATATATTCTTGCAGATGCTAGACAGCCATCTGCTGGGATGCTTT